GATGGGACAGGGGGGGGAGGGAAAAGAGGGGGGTGCCCGTCATGCAGCATTCCCTCAGCAGCAGCACTGGAGCTCCCCCATTAAGCAGGCCCATCAAACCCCCATCCCATCGAGCCCCACCCCTCCTGCACCTGGACCACCCTAATGAGCCCCCCCCCATCCGGACTCCCACCCCAATGAGCCCCACTCCCCCAGCACCCAGATCCTCTTGCTGAGCCCCCACACCTAAACCACCCCTGCCAAGCACAATCCCACCACACCCAGATGGCCCCTGCTGAGCCCCAACCACCTTCACCTGGATCCCCTGCAGAATCCCACTGCCCCTGCACCTGAAACCCCCCAACAAGCTCCTGTGCATCCAGATCCCCCATTGAGCCACCCACACCCAAACTGCCCCACACAGAACTCTCTCACCCCACACCTGGGTCCCCCCACACTAAGCCCCGCCACACTTGTATCCTGGCGGGCTGAGCCAGCCTGCCCACCCCTGGAGTGCCTGGCGCAGAGGGGCAGGACCCTGGGGTGTTTCTGAGATAGTCCTGGCCCTTGCGCTGCATCAGGGTCAGGTGCACCCTCACCACTGAGTCCCTGTCCTGTGGGGAGGAAGGGAGGGCTCCAGGGTGATCTCCCACTTCCATCCAGGCAGTGGCCTGTGCTCCCCACTGCCATGTTGGAGCCTCCACATTTATTTCTTGACAAATAAAATTTGCAGAGTTCTAAAATATATTGTGCACAGAATTTTTTTTTTTTTTGGCATAAAGTTCCCTCTGGAGTACTTAAATCAGATGAGCTTTTTGCTGCTCTCAGACAGTAATTACTGTACCTGGTAGCAATAGGTACACCAAAAGTCAACACTATCCATGTAAAATTCATGCTGGAATATTATATGTTAAACATAAAAAAATCCCAAGACATTTTAAAATAGTTCCCTATTTGTATTAATCATCTTAGTTTAACATTTTTTTTAATTTTAATAAGTTAATTGTACTCTATTTTTACTTTTTTACCCTTCAAACAATTTGGGCAGTGAAACTAAATATGTTCATTTCACTTTCTGGTTCTAACGATGGAGGGTTTTTTCCTAATACATGCATTTCTAGGACTAAAAGGCAAATTACGTAAATTTCCATGCCTACAAAATTTTGTAACTGAAATATTTTATTAGTATCACAAAAATATTTGTTTTCATATATGGTTTTGCAAAACTACATTTGGACTATTTCTGGAGGCAGAGAAATCTGGGAAGGGCTCAAAACGGGCAGGTCTATGCTCAAATAAGGACAAACATTCTGGTATACTTTCCATCACCTTGGAGAGAAAACCCCACAGTTTAGATTGTGGGATAAGAAGGGGACAATTTTGAAATAACTTTGGAGATGTTAGGACAGCAGTGAATGTGATGGTGCAATATGAACCTGAGAGCAAGAGAAGTCTGGCTGCTGCATTCTAGACTCTGGTTAGAAAACAGATATTCAGAATGAACATAAACCCAAATTTTGGTTACTGTGCTACAGAATGACAATGGTAGCTAAAACACATCAGAAGTCCTATGAATTCACTTGACTGTACAAAGCAGTCAATTTATCTAAATAAGATAAAGATTCTACCTGAATCTAAGTTTGGCAATGACCTACACACTTGTCTAAACATACTGTGTATAGTGTAATACTATAAAGCTTGAATTTATTATTCTGAAGCTACATACACACTATGCTATCGTCCCGTGTACAGGAACAGAGGTGTGTTTAATATATCCATGAATATTTTGGTGATATTCAATAAAAATTGTCTTACTTGTGTCAGAAGGACAAACTGAGCAAACTGCCAGGGAAGCATGAAAAAGACATTAGAAACACACAGTGCAATCAAGCTTCCTCTATTAATATTCGGAGTCCTTAGGAAAAAAGAAATAAAACAGATACCAGTAAGTCAAACTATAATAGGCCTTTGTATTTCATCCAAAAGAGCATCAGAGAATAGTATCAAAAAATTAAAAATTGCCTTGTAATTGGACTTGCAATATAAAATTGACAACTGTGAACAAAACAGTTTAAGTAACTTTTGTATTAATTTCCATAAGAATATATAATATAAGATTAAAATAATTAATTCTGACCCTTGTTATTTCATAGCTCACCTTTTGAAATAAAAGTAGAAGTTGAAGTAAACAAAAAAAGTGCTAAGTGGCCCCACTAAGCAAGCCATGATGAACATTCATCTCAAAAACTGTAACATTGAGTTTAGAATTCCTTTCAGGCTTTATGAAGTGTTCCAACTCTTCAGATTTCTCTAAAGATGCCCAGACTGCCTCATTCTCATTGATGACATGACAGCCAGAATGATGCATTACTCAAGTGACACAGACAAATATTTTGTGCAATATTTCTAGTACAGTGCAATATTTCTAGTACAGGGGATATATCAATGGTATTAGCTGACAAGAGTTCAGAATTTGACCTCACCATATATCATTATTTAATCTCCACTTGTCTACCTACCTATGGGGAATGAAAATATGGCAATTATTTGGGACTATATAGGGCTCTGTCCTCAAGGGTCACTGGCATCATAAAAAGGAATGTCTATGGGAAAAGGAGTAGAAACTTTCTTGCCAAAATGTAACAGTCTGGGAAAACTGAGGCAGCCACCTATGAGGTTCAAAGGCTTCTAAGGAAAGACAATCAGTTCCATAAATGAAGAAGCTTCCATGGGACATAATGCAAAAAGAGATGAAGGCCCAGCTCATTCAGACTAAACTGTTCCATCTGCTAGAAGACAGGAAATAAACTAGATAACTCAGCTGCAGCCAGACTTTACATTGGGGTCTAATGTCACAAAAAATCTTTAATTTCGTCTATTAGGAGGATTATAGTTATAATCACTTGTGTAAATTGACCTACATGTCCTTCCTTGGAAGTTCTTGAGCCTCTTGGATGGTTTCCCGTTTTCCCAAAGTGCTGCAAGTCAGCAGGAAAGTTTTCTACTCCTTCTCCAACAGACATGCCCCTTTGTGATGCCAATGACGCCTGAGTGCAGAGCCCTGTAGCCCAAGAATGGCTGCCATGCTTCCACTCCTCCACAAGACGACAATTGGGGATGAAATTATATATGAGGCTACGAGGCAGGTGAGGCAATAACTGTATCTAGTTGACACATTCTAATACTTTCACCTGAATTTGCACTGACTCATGGTGTCCTCTGACTCCATTTTTCAATTACCTCAGTGATCAAATAAATATTTCATATTGAAAAAGCATCGAAGTTTCAAAATGCCCCCATGGATTTCTGTCTGAGTCACAGGGACAACCAATTAAAGTTTCATGGAAGAGCCATCTTCTGGCCATCTTTCATCTGTTGTGGAGAACTGGAACCTTGCCAACCAGCTGGAAGGACGGTACTGTGATCTCACTTTATAAGGGCAAGGGACTGAGCAGTGAATGTAAGAGCTACAGGCCGATCACCTTATTGTCCATGCCAGGGAAGGTGTTTGCAAATGTTCTGCTGGCACGTTTGGAGCCCCTGCTCAGTGTTGCCCCCAACAATCAGACCTTACGAGGAACAGTTCCACATTAGATGCCACCAGCCTTCAGCTTGTTGTCAGAGATACACCATGAGTTCAAAACCCCCTGCACGTAGCTTATGTCGACCTTATGGACGCATTTGATTCAGCTGACCAAGTCGCACTATAGAAGGCCTTAAAGGGCGTAGGTGTCCCAACCCTCTGCTGGACTTCATTAGCAAGCTGCATAATGGAACCATTGCCCATGTACATCTGGAGAATCGGATGTTAGCACATTTTAAATCAGTATCTGTTGTCATGGAGGGCTGTGTCTTGGCCCTGCACTCTTTTGTTGGGCAATGGATTTCATAATGAAGCCTCCTTTGGACTTCAGAATAAGCACATATCAGGAATAAAATCCCTTCCTCCGTTATATTGAGGAGGCACTTCCTTTACGGCCCCTAACTGCACCAGAGTCTGCACTTCCTGAATTAGTATAACCTTGTGAGAGCTGTCTGTGAAAAGGGTCAGGGAAGGGGGAATATACATGAATTTCAGGGTAAATCCCAGTTCCAGCATGCTTAGAGTATCTGATGTAATGTGGGTTCAGGCATTTAGGAAGTGGGACAACCTATTGCCAAAGGGAGAGAAGATCTCTGGGGTGGTTTGCTGCCCTGGACCAAAGAATCAAAAAGACTGCTTGGAAGTTTAAAGTTGTCTCAAGGACGCAGAAGTTGAAGGAGGTGGAGAAGGTGGTCTCTTCTTTTGATACCTAGGATGCCTTCTAGAGCTTTTGGGCTGTCTCACTGGATAGTACAGATACCTCTGCTGGGCCTGAGGCCAAAACTGCTTCTTTATTATAGCAGGGATATAAATATTCATTGATTTTAGGTTATCCTGGAATCTTTTGAGTGTTCAGAGCTTCCTCTGTTTTGCCCCAAAACAAATCTGAACCTTCAGAGGGTGTGGGAATTCAGCTGGTACACTCGATACCTGGTTCCATGAAACAAGGTGCATAGTGATAGCTGTCACGAGTTGCTGAGTCGGTTTCATCTAGAACAGCCTCTGGAGACGAGTGAGCAAACAACCCTCGCTTATAAAAACCTTAAATTCCTTGTTCACTTTATCCAGTAACTTGTTCTGAAATTTAGGTCTCTAAAGCACAAAGGGGAAGTGTGAGGCATTCAGACGTGTTATGACTACTGATAACGGGCAGAGAAGGAGGGGCCGGGGCAGCTCTGCCCCCCCCCTTTATGCTCTTGGCAATTAGCAAAAGCATACGTAGGGCTCATGAGCCATCCCCAAAGGGTATTGCTGTGGGAAAACGTTAACCAACTCTGGTGCACTGGTGCCCACACATCTAGGATGGAATGACAAGGGCAAACACTCAAAGAATCATATATATGATTTCTGGTTTGTACAGTAAGGCTGTGTCTAAACTAGGAGTTTATTTCATTACCAGTGTTACTAACACCAATGTAGCTCCACTAGCCCAGTGTTAAAAATGTTGTGATAATGGGAGCCTAGCCTAAACCACTAGTATCACTATTACTACCAGTTGTGGAGACCCTTTGGTGTTAGCAATAATGGGTAATGTCTGAAGGGAAAAAAAACTAGTATGTACAAGACCATAGCCTCTAAATAAATGCACTGTCTCAGGGATTCTGTTTTTTAAACTCTTCACTCTTAATAACCACACATAAATTGGACGCTACCTGAGAATGTAGGTCAAAAGCAACATCTGAAGCACAAGGAATGGGTATGAGAAACTTTCACGAAGGGGTGGAGTCCACATCACACGCGTGCACTGAAAATAAGAACTGAATTAGTTCATAGTATATTTTGCTACATTTTCATTCCCCTCCCCCCCGCAAAGCAATGAATTTATGATTTAAAATTATCAACTACGGAAACTGAAATGGTACAAAAACAAACTAGATGAAGACTCAATCATAAGTCAACAAAATAGTGCGTCATAAGACAAGATACAAGAGATGGAAGGAAGGAGCATGCATGCTTGAGTGAAGATACAGTTTTGGGGCTTTAATAGTTGAGGGCGGGGAGGGTTTAACCACTACTACTGGCTCCTTCTCTTGATATGAGAGAACTACAGTGGGAACGATATCTTACTCTTGCAAAAACCAGAAATCTGACAGCTTAGGAGCAGTTTTGTCCACCAAGAACAAAGATGCCAAAGTAGCACAGGTTCTCCTCACCTCCACTTATGGCCATATCTTGCAATCTCTTATTTACAAAAACAGTCTTTGCTGAAATCAATTAATTATGGATGTGAATAAGGACTACTCAAACAGCAAGACTGCGACTAGCTAATATAGCTACACATAAAAGAGTGCAGGGAGCAGGGTGAGAGGCATAAGCCAACACACCTGTATCCCTACGTTAAGTCTCCCACACTGTAGCTCAGGCATGGAGAGAAGAAAGCAGAGACTGTGCACCCAACAGCTGTGTGGAATGTACAGAAACTTGGCTCTGCCCACCAACACACAAGCCAGTAACATTGAGCAGCTGAAACTAAGTGTACCTGTTACATAGCTGCTGTAAATTACTCCCCCCACTGCAGAGCAAGTGATTAGAAGGCAAACCAATTGTGATTGAACCACAATTTCTCCTCAGAATGCTTTTGGAGTAGCAAAACATGTAGCTGTGCCACCCACATGGGCTAGGTTGAGCCTTTAGGCTCAGCCCTACACAAGGATTTGCAGAAATCAGATCCTTGGTTTTCAAAAGTCAATTCCACCCGGGAGTTAACTAAAACTTTATATATTTGAATATTTCTTTGCAGCATTTTTCCATGTCAAATTAATGCAATTATACACAAGAGGCTTCATGTTACTTCAACTTTTGAAAGATGTTCCTTCTTATACATTAGCAATTTAACGGTGTTAGAAAATTTTGTTTGAAAGAAACCTGCTGTAAGATGTACTACAAATTCAATACAGTATCTAAATATAAAACCTTTTAATAACATGAAATATACAAGCAAGGCTAGAAGAAAGCTGTTTGTTGGTAATTAAACCTATCAGGTACATATTTACCCATCCAACATTTTTAAAAGTAATCTTGAACAGACAAAGTACATCTCTCCTTCATATACATTTACTGTGGCAATGGAAGGGAAATGTCTTTAGTGGACTTCTGCTAATACCGAGACGTTTACTGAGGAACTGCTGGTAGAATCAAAGGGTTTCTATGGACTTTTATTCTCACGTCGACTTACGTATCAGCAATATTCTCTCTCTACCCCCATCTATGTCTGTCTTGATCACTAACTGATTCGACTGCATAAGGTATGGTAACATTTAGCCTGCAGCAAGAGTATGTGTATCGCAACCAACAGGGGCCTAAGTTCCCCCCTAAATTTGACGTTACTCTCCAATCATACTTAAGAGGCCAATTAGTGCTTTATGTACTGTGCTCCCACACAGCAGCAATTCCCAATATCAGAGAAAACAGTGAAACAGAGTACGAGCCCAAAGGCAGCTCAAACTTGGCAGAATGTGGAGGAACAAATTTAAGTTGTTAGATGTCCTCTACTAACACGCAAGACAGGAGGTCACAGAGTTCAAGGGACAGATGCTATACAAAGGAGGCAGGAGAGAGGTAGAGAATTTAAACAGAGAAAGTGCTTTAATCAAGGGAAGAGAACAAAAATTCAGATTTAAGGAATGAAAATGATTATGAAATATTAAAACATCAGCTGAAAAAAGGAAGCACACACAGATGGAGTGGTAGGAACAAGCTGTTGAAAACAGAGGCAAAACTCGAAAATAAAAACAGTTTATTGAAAAGAAGATATGAAGAAAAGAAAAACATTTTAAAGTGCAGTTCCACTCAGTATAGTGACTAAACACAACACTGTGCTGCTCCATGTTTGTCCTTAATTTCCAAATCAAGTGTGTTCAATTGACAGATTTTTTTTCCCCTCTCCTTTTTATTTATTTTAACTGTCAGCCATGCAAACAACTCCTGATCAGGGTCAGCCTGGATTCTCTCTTACTCTTGCATCACCGAAGTAATAAAAAGATCTTTAGAGCAAATTAATTTCCCCAATTCATAACTGTTCATCCAAATTACCTTCAAATTAAACCCTCGGTAATATCTGTATAACCCCATTAGTCTTCGAATGATTTTTAACAGGTGTAATCAACTGGAACTTAGTAAACACTTCTTTTAAGAATTAGCAAGCAGGAAGTGAATCACGCTCACTCTCAGCTGTATTGACTCTACAGCACAAACATATAAACGCTTATTTTTTGGTGAAGTAAGTGGATATTATGTTAAAAGCACATATACTGTTAAGTGCTTTCATTTTTTAGTTATTTTTCAGAGTACAGCCACACTTAAAATGTACCTAACTTGCAAGATATAGAAAGAAAAAAGTAAAAAAGTAGTAAAAGCAAAAAGTGATACATAGGATGAGCAACCAAAAAAAGGGAGCATTTACCTTATTGCTATATTGACTTTACCATGAGTTGTGCCATTTTCCTATGCTTGAAATGTAATATCGCTGTAAGGTAAATGTTTCTTTTTCAAGATAGCCCAAAGCAGCACATTAATATTTTATTTTATGCCAAACAGTTATTTGATATAACACACAGACACCATACACACACACACACACACACGTGACTCCTTTAGCATTTTGTTGAAGCTGTAACAGTGTTAATCTGTGGTCAAGGACAGTGGCATCCACAGCTGTATGCATGTTACACATGGTGCATGCCATTGGCAGGGAACCCAGGGCTCAGGCTGCTGGAAGGTGCAGCTGGGCAAAGTGCCAGCGGGGAGCCCTGGCACAGAAGCCAGGCCTACAGCAGCAGAAAGAAGGAGCAGTGTTGGCTGCCTCACTGCCCTCTCGGATTTGGCCCTGCAGCCCGTCATGACAGGGAGGCGGACGATCGGACCAATACTGAGTGAGTGCCATTGCAACCTGGTGCATGGGGGTCGCAGTGCCACTGAGGTTTGGCCCGTGGCTTCTTTATCATGACAGGCGGACCTCAGGGCCAAAACTGAGTGGGCAGTGGAGCAATCAGCACTGCTTCTCCTCACCACAGCCATGGGGCTGGCTCCTGCATCAGGGCTCCCCCGCCAGGGGCCTCCTTAGCTTTGCCCCACTTCCAGCGGCTGTGTCCCCTCTGCTCTGCCCACAGGACTCACTAGCGACAGCCTCAAGACCTGCTAGTACAGGGAGATATGGGGAGTGCCCACATAGGGGAGCTGGCCAGGAGAAAGGTGGTGGGGAGGCCTGAATGAGGCAGTCACAAAGGGGTTTGGTTTTATGAACTATGTGAAAAATTTCTGTGTGCACCTCTGAAGAAGGAACTAATTGGAAAAGTCAGAGGACAATGGTTAACTTCCATGGTGGGGTGCGGCACATTTATACCTGTCTGCTACCCTTAGGAATCAAATGTTTTTAGAACTTGAGAAGCTGTGCCTGTCCCACACGAGTGAGAATCCTGCACAAATGGTATCTTCAGAGAATAATTATTTTTGAACTTCCATTTGAAAGATATTGCATTAGCCATTTAGCATCTCGGGTTTTTAATTAATCTTAAAAACAAGACTGTTTCAATAACATCTGACATCCATTATCAAGTAGTTAAAGAAGCTCTAATGCAATTAAATGTAGTTGAACATATTCAAAGACCTTTACCAAGCTCAGCTGAGTAAACTGGAAAGGCAAAACTAGTTTCAACTCAGGATGGAGCCATATGGCAACTAGATTCAATCTGAACAACAAGACACAAAGGTAAGCCAGGCAAAAAACAATTTCTAACCTTCCGTACCTGTTGTTCTTCAAGATGTGTTGCACATCTTGAAGTCAGATCTGCCCAGCAGGCCTGCTGGTTTGCAATCCTAAACTGCAACCCCCCTCCAGTAGAATAAACCGTTCTTACCGAATAAATCCAATTTCTTGGGGTCCTTTGCTATAGGTGTTGCACCCTGATGACCCTGCCTTTCTCTTCCAATGGCAGCAGATACCACCAGGGGGCTGGGTGCGGAGGGGTAAGATGAGTGTACAAGAACTCATAGCTATGGGCAGGCACAAAGTATTTCCGCTCAGTTCTTTTTAATGTGGGGGGAAGGGAAGCAGGAGTCTGCCACAGGGCTTTAACAGGGTCCATAATGGCCTCATTAAGAGGCAGGGCTACTTTTGATGGGCCTGCCACCACTGAAACGTCAACCAGACTATGGGAGGACTCCTTCACTACCTCTTGGTGAGCCCTATAGTCATCCTGGGGAGGTGACATGCCCACTCCTGACACGGCCTCATCAGGGGAGGAGGAGGCCAGCACCAGCTGAGGACACTCTTCCTCCCTTTCCACATCAGAGGGTTCTGCAGAACCAGTTCCTGAAACCCAGCACTGGGTTCAGTACCCAAGTCTGGATTGGATGTTGCCCAATGGGACGGTGGTGCTCTTCTTTTGGAGGCCATCAAATAGCAGCATCTTGAATAGGATCCCTTAATTGAGGGAAACCCCCACAGGTTCCAAAAGGTACTCAGTGCCAAATCTGACCAGCTCAGCTTGGAGAAAGGTCTCAACACCGCCTCCATGAGTAAAAACTTCAGCCTGGCCTCCTGGTCCTTCTTCGTGCGAGACTTAGGGCTTGTCTATACTTACCGCGCTGGTTCGGCGGCAGGCAATCGAACTTCTGGGTTCGATTTATCGCGTCTTGTCTGGACGTGATAAATCGAACTCAGAAGTGCTCCCCGTCGACTCCGGTAATCCTGCTCGCCGCGAGGAGTACGCGGAGTCGACGGGGGAGCCTGCCTGCCGGGTCTGGACCGTGGTAAGTTCGAACTAAGGTACGTCGACTTCAGCTACGTTATTCACGTAGCTGAAGTTGCGTACCTTAGTTTGATTTGGGGGTTTAGTGTAGACCAAGCCTTAAAGTCCCTGCAGATCTGGCAGCAGTCCCTGACGTGAGCCTCTCCCCAGCACTTCAGGCAACTAGTGTATGAGTCACTTGGAGACATAGCATTGTTGCAGGAGGCACAGGGCTTGAAGCCCAGTGACCAGATATGCCTCGGCACCAGGTAACGGACCAAACTCCGCTAACTAACTGACCCTGACACAAACTATACTAAATTGACTAAAAACTGACTATTTACAACTATATACAATTATAGGAAAAGGAAGACCCTGAGAAAGCTTGCTGAAGCAAGAATAATTCCAGCGACTGTCATGGGCAGTAAGAAGGATCTGAGGGGGCACAAGGCCAGCTGGGCGCTTTATACAAGCTCTATGTGTGCACAGCACCAGACGACACTTGAGCTGCCCCAATGGGTACCACTGAGGGGAAAAAAATCTCTGGTGACTGTGCTCAGGGTGCGCAAACACCTACAGTGGAATGCACACGTACAATCACTCGAAGAACACCACATGTTTCTAAGTAAAAAACCAGAATCATAGCCAAAGGGCACTTAAAATCATTTATTCTTTCAAAACACAAGAGAGATGACAATAGTGGTAGAAAAAAAAACATCAGATATTTTGGATTAAACAAATCTTTTTCTAAAGGAATAAAGCTTTTTCCAAAAGCTTAGCATTATTTTTCTGCATATCATTTAGAAACGTGGACAGTTTCTAAATGATATGTTGCCTGACAGACCATAGTAGACTAATCATTAGTATACTGACAGAAAATACGTTCAGCTGTGGCTATCTGAACCCTGAATTATCTATTATGTATTCACTATGTACCCTTCCTGACTTTCAGATAACTAAAATGATATTGTATAAAGAAAACTTGCTCCATTTGTGTGTTTCTGAAGAAAGATATATTGTGTTTTGTAAAATTATGAGGGATTGTTAGAGGAGATATCTGGAAGGATACTGATGGGCAACAGTGGTGATTGTCAAACAAACTCTCATTGTGTCAGTGATAGTGTGATTTTTAGAGGTTTCTACATGCACCTCGAGATTGAAAAGGTGCAGTTTTTTAAATAGGAGAAATAAATATTCTAGACATCAGAATGAACACATTTATTTACGAAATCTCTACTGACCAGAGGGTTCAAGCCACATTTCCAAGATGTTAAGGCACCTAAAGATGCAGGTTCTCGGTGAAACACCTATGCTGGTGAGGCACCTCACCTACTCACACGCTTTTGAAAATTCTACCGGGTGCCTACCTGCATCTTTAGGCACCTAAATACCTTTGAAAAGGTGGTCTAAATGCCATATAGAATAATACAACCGTATGAATATACATCAAACAACTCTATGTTCGGCACAAGAAAGTTAATGCAACATTAGGGACACATTTTAATAGCACCAGTGATGGTATTCAAAGCTACAATTTTCGTTCTTACAGCAACAATAACTATGCAAACATAGTTTGAAATCCTGGCCCCTGAAAAGTCAATGGGAATTTTCCCACGGACTTCACTGGGGCTAGGGATTTCACACATAGTATTGTCTTCTGAATTTACTTCTTAGGTGGAGATGGAAATCAGTTTTTAATTTCCTGATTTTTGTGCAATTAAAATCTCAACCTGACACATACATCAGGCTACGTTTCTCCACAACCCACTTCCAATACCATCTCCTTTGTATTTAAGAGGGAGAAAAGGGAAGCCAGAAGAATATTATTCAAATAAAAACCACCGACTACACTTTTATGGAAAGCTCTCAAAATTATATTCAAATAAACTTGCTTGGATTATATTATTAGGCAGTAAGAATGCTACTGATCTAAATTCAGTTTAAGGGCATTAGTAGAACAAACTAACCAAGAATGCTAAGCCAGCCTCAGAAAATAAGAAATGACTAACTAGTATTCATGTTTCTAGGTTCCAACATTTCTTATATGTTCTACTTTCCCTCATTAAAAAAAAAGTGAGCTGAAAGAGAAATGACATCAGTGCACAATATTAGTTACTGAGATTGCTATTTAGTTATGAAGGAGTTTAAAGTAGGGGATTTCTATTAAGAGTTTATCCACACATAGGTATATGGGAAATGAAAACTGAAATTTCAGTGAAAAAAAAGCTGTTTCTATAATGGCATCTTAAATGCCACAAAAAGGTTACATTCACAGGTACTTTCAAAATACTACATATTTTTCTTTTCAATGTTTTCTTACCTTTAAGCATAGGCTAAGATGTGAAGTACAAGCATTCTCTATTTTTAAGTAAAAATCACACACCTGATTTAGTCTAAAACAATCAAAAATTTCAGTCTAAAGGACCTACCTCCCCATGATTGAAAAAGTAGCACAATACCGTAACTAGACCTCCTAGACGGCTCCCACTGTGAAAAGAAAATGAAAAGTGAGTGCAACAGAATTTCATAATGTTCAAGTAATATCTTCTGAAACCCAAATTCACAAGATTTGTCCACACCCCAGAATATTTAATCTTTCACTTTTAAACATAGTGACAGACTTTTAAAAAAAATTATATATATATATATATATTTTTTGAGGGGAGGAGGTAGAAGAGAAAATTACAATGTAAACCAGTTAAGAGCCTAGATAGGCAACCAATATTAGTTTTGGAACAGTCCACCCTTGTATTGCATCTCTTCCCTGCAGAACTCCTCTGAATTTTCCTTACCTTTAATACACATCCAGTGGAATAATCTGGTTACCTAGCTCTGTGCAGGCTTTCCTCTTAGACCAACATTTTTAGAGGCAGCAACTAATTATCTGTTGGTCTTTAAGGTGCCACCGGACTCCTCGTTGTTTTTTTGCAACTAATTAGGTGTTCCTCATTTTCTGAGTGTCCAAAACTTGACATATCCAGAGCCTGATTTTCAGAAGTGCTGAGCATTTGCAACTTCAGTTGATGTCAATAGGAGCTGCAGATTCTCAGCACCTCTGGGAAAAAAAAATAATTGGGTTCTAGGTGTCTCAGTTTGGGCACCCAAAAAATGGGCACTCAAAGTTGGTGGACACTTTTGCAAATTTTGGTGTGAATCTGTGCCTTGTGATGAACTGGGGCTCTCTCTGTACAACTTATGAATTCTGGTTGATATTGTGAAGTTGAATTACAAAAATCTGATATAATAAGAGTTCCTTTTTGTCTAAGAGTCTACCACTGCTGTCAGGG